CATATGTATTTCCAAATGAATTACCAGGGGAATTGGTAGACAGGGAGATAGAGTTCACTATTGAAACTGTACCAGGCACCCAGCCCATTTCTAAAACTCCCTACAGAATGGCTACTACCGAAATGAAAGAGTTGAAAGAACAGTTGCAAGACCTGCTTGACAAGGGGTTTATTCGACCTAGCACTTCGCCTTAGGGTGCACCAGTATTATTTGTGAAAAAGAATGATGGAACCCTACGCCTGTGTATCGATTATCGGGAATTGAACAAGGTAACAATAAAGAACAAATATCCCCTACCCCGTACTGATGACTTATTTGACCAGTTGCAGGGATCATAGGTGTTTTCTTAGATTGATTTGAGGTCCGGGTATCATCAGTTGAAAGTTAAGGCAGAAGATGTTGAGAAAATCGCATTCAGAACGAGGTATGGACATTTTGAGTTTCTTGTTATGCCATTTGGAGTGACTAATGCTCCGGCAACATTTATGAACTTAATGAACCGAATTTTTAAAACCTACCTTGACGAATTCGTTGTGGTTTTTATTGATGACATTTTGATATATTATAAAGATAGACTTGAACATGGCAGCATTTGAGAACTGTCCTACAAATACTACGAGAAAGAAAATTATTTGCAAAACTAAAGAAATGTGAGTTTTGGTTGGATGAAGTTGTTTTCTTAGGGCATGTGATCAATAGGGAAGGAATTCAGTGGACCCACAGAAAATAGAGGCAATTATAAATTGGCCTACACCGACCAATGTAACAGAAGTCCGCAGTTTCATGAGCTTAGCCGGGTACTACAGGAGGTTTATGAAAAAATTTTCCAAGATAGCTGTACCTCTTACCCAGATGACTCACAAGGGGCAATCATTTGAATGGAATGATGAAAGAGAAGCTGCCTTTCATGAACTGAAAACAAGATTGACCACTGCACCAATTTTGACACTACCTTCAGGTACGGAGAATTTTGTAATTTTCAGTGATGCGTCTTATAAAGGTTTGGGTTGTGTGTTAATGCAAAACGGAAAGGTTATTGCTTACGCCTCCCGACAGTTGAGGCCACACGAGAAGAATTATCCAATACATGACCTAGAATTGGCCGCAGTTGTTTTTGCTTTGAAAATCTGGCGGCATTATCTGTATGGAGCAAAGTGTGAAGTCTACATGGATCAGAAAAGTCTAAAATGATTCTTCATGCAGAAGGAGTTGAATATGCGACAGAGGAGATGGCTGGAACTGATAAAGGATTATGATTTAGAGATTCAGTATCACCCCGGGAAAGCTAACACAGTTGCTGATGCCTTGAGCAGAAAATCAACAAGGAGTATGGCTTGTTTGCTTACTGAACAAAAAGAGATCTTGCAAGATTTTGAGAAGTCTGAAATTGAAGTAGTAATGTGTGAACGGGGCGGATTGATAGCCGCTATTACAGCCGAGCCGGCAATCATTGATGAAATCAAACAGAAATAGAAAGATGATGAATTCCTCAAGAAGGTGATAGATGAATTTGAGACAAGGCCAAACGCAAAGTTTGGCCTTGTAAATGGAGTGTTGAGATTTCAAAACCGAATGTGTGTCCCAGACATTCCGGGACTAAAAAAGAGGATTTTAGATGAAGCCCACAAATCAGCGTTTGCTATGCATCCGGGTAACCATAAAATGTATCGGGATTTGAAACAAACTTATTGGTGGCCTAAGATGAAGAAAGAGATTGCAGAATATGTGTCCAAATGTCTTCAGTGTCAGCAAGTTAAAGTTGAACATCATAAACCAGGCGGTCTACTGCAACCTCTCTCTATTCCTGAATGGAAGTGGGAGCATGTGACTATGAATTTGTTGTTGGCCTACCTCGGACTTCTCGAGGTATGGATTCTATTTGGGTTGTAGTTGATAGACTAACTAAATCTGCACATTTTCTGCCTGTTAGAACTACGTTTAATGCTTATAGATTGGCTACTATTTATGTTGATGAGATTGTCCGTTTACACGGAGTTCCGGTATCTATTGTGTCGGATAGAGATCCGAAATTTGTATCCAGATTGTGGAAGAGTTTGCAGGAAGCTATGGGGACGGAACTAAGGTTCAGTACTACATTCCACTCACAGACAGATGGGCAATCAGAACGAACAATACAGACTTTGGAAGATATGTTTCGGATGTGTGCTTTAGATTTTCAGGGGAGTTGGGAAGACTATTTGCCACTTGCGGAATTTGCTTATAATAACAGCTTCCACTCCAGCATCGGTATGGCACCATACGAGGTTTTGTATGGTAGAAGGTGTAGATCACCAAATTGTTGGATAGAGGTCGAGGATAGAGCTTTACTTCTGAGGTTGTGCAAGATACTTCTGAGAAAATCAAAACTATTCGACAAAGGCTCAAAATAGCTCAGGACCGACAAAAGAACTATGCAGACGTTCGAAGAAGACCTCTTGAGTATGAGGTCGGTGACCACGTGTTTATTCGTGTGTCCCCAATGAAAGGCCAAGCCAGGTTTAGAAAGAAGGGCAAGTTGTCGCCCCCTTACATTGGGCCGTTTCAGATTCTAGAAAGGCTTGGTCCAGTTGCTTATAGAGTTGCTTTGCCACCAGGATTCAGGTGTTTTCTTAGATTGATTTGAGGTCCGGGTATCATCAGTTGAAAGTTAAGGCAGAAGATGTTGAGAAAATTTTAATATAATTTTGTGAGCAATTATTCGGAAATATGTGGTTTTGAATTTCTATCTGTTCACCGTAGGAATATCTGTTTGATTATCTGCTTTGGAAATTAATTGAAGGCCTTATCGGCCACAAAACTCGAAATCAATTACGCCATTGAGGTTAGCATAATTTTTAGAGCCTACGGTGAAATTTAATTGGAAATTGATTCAGATCAGAATTAATTGATTTAATTGATGAATTAGTGCCCAATTATTTATTATTATTAAATTGGACTTAGTGGGATTTGTTGAAATAAGGCACTACACCCTCAATTCCCTCTTTAGCTTCATTTTGGCTGATTCTAACCTTAAGAGAGAAGAGAGGGCCGGCTATAGAGAGAGAGAGTGAGAGAATTGTGTAATCTTGGCTCAAGGTTTGGGGAATTTGAAGATTTAACTCAAGAATTTGCTATAGTTTGGAAAATTGAGCTCCTACGTAAGGGAATTCATGAGTTTAATGTTGCAAATTGTGAATTCAAGTTTGATTAATGGTCAAGAACATGAGTTAGATTGATTATGATGAAACTGAGTTGGTTTTGTTGGATTTGAAGTCTTAGAACACATGCATGTAAGAAATTGCCATAAATTTCCATGTTTGAGCATAAAGTATGTAATCCATGTTGAGTTTTGATTAATGACCATGTATTTGATCATCTCTTCACCAATTAAGTTGATGATATTGTGTATATTTCACATGCAAGTGCAAATCATGGGAGTTTGAGTCTTGCATGTTTGAATCTAGTGTGTTGGTGATGAGTTTGAGTTAATTTGAGACATGCATGGGATTAAATTATGAAATTGAGCTTCATTGTGTTGTAATTTGGTGTTTATACCATGTTAGAATATGTATATGTGAAGTTTGAGCCAAAATCATGCATTTGGAACCTTTGAACATCAAATTGAAGCTCAATAACATGTTCTGGATTTTCCAGAATTTTGATGTCCGCTCGAGCGGGGAAACCACCGCTCGAGCATGAAATTCGTGTTCCCAGTATTTTCTGCAGACATGGTGTTCGCTCGAGCGGGGAAGTTCACGCTCGAGCAGGGAGCCATGTAGAAAGGACTTCCGCTTGAGCGCCAGAGTTCGCGATCGAGCGTAAATTTGACATATCTAGTACTTTTGCAGGCCTCGTGGGTCCGCTCGAGCGGGGACCCTGTCTTTTGAAATTTAGAAAATGTATTCTGTGTTCCGGTTTCCGTTCTCTTTCGCTTGCAAGCACTCTTAGGCATACATTGAGCATTATAAATGAGTTAAAGAGATAAGAATGAAGCCTAAAGAGGAATATCTGGATTTAAGAATGGATTGAATTGTTTGTGATCCTTTTGTGTTCATGGAATGTGTAGGGTCGAGCTGCAGGGCAAACCAACCAACCAACCACTGTGAGTAATATCGATATTTTGAAACTTGTCATTTGTCCAATTGCTTATTTCTTTATAAGCCTTATAAGTGCTAGTTTGACATAAATGAATGGGCCAGAGGCCATTTCGACATGAATGAATAGGCCAGAGGCCAGTTTGACATGAGTGGATGGGCCAGAGGCCATTTTGACATGAATGAATGGGCCAGAGGCCAGTTTGACATGAATGAATGGGCCAGAGGCTAGTTTGACACGAAAGTTTGAATGGGCCACAGGCCAATCTGACAAATGAAAGATAAATGGGCCAAAGGCCAGTATGTTTGGAACCACAGTCACTTGACCTAAATTATGTATATATATGTTAAATAGAAATATGAATTGGGCCCAAGGCCGTTTGAAGCATGTTGTTCTACATATCGTTTGTATAACTTCTATATTTGATATTATTCATTGGGCTATCGCTCACACTCATTCATATGTTTGTAGGTGAGCCCAGAGAAGTCCAAACCTAGCCCTAGTGAAGTCTGTGTGGAACAACAAAGATTTTGAAGAGTCGGCCCTCGCGTCTCACGCACGAGACCCACCTTCGCCGTTTTGCCCTTTTGTTCTGTCTTTTCATATTTGCGAAGACCTTGTATCTATTGCACATAGTTTTGATGGGTTGACTTAGACTATCATGATCCTGTATGTACAGAACCTTGTGTGGTACGTATTTTGTTTTGAGTTCTTAATGTGCATACGTATGATTGTTACGATGTGCCATGTAAGCACAACTCTATGGACAAAGTTTTAAATTGCTTCCGTTTGGCCCCCATTAACTCTGTTAAAATACGTTTGGTTTAGTTTGAGGCCATAAGTAATCTCATGATTACTGGCCGGTTATGTCCTTAACCCACGGGGGCGGGTTCGGGTCATGACAAGTTCTCTCTCTCGCTCTCGGTCTGTCTGTGTGTGTGTCTCTCTCTCGCTCATAGTCTCTCTCTGTCTATCTCTATCTCTCGCTCTCTCCCATCCTTTGTCTTCCCCTTTTCTAATTGTTCATTTAGGGTTTAATTTCGTGTTCATTTAGATTGTTCCTTTGTTTCCCGCTTTTCTGATTTTTTTTTTGTTGCGGTTTCCCCCCCTCTTTTTTTTTTTTTCCCTTGGACGTTGCAAGTAATGGGTTGCAATGCAAGAGTTTCAATCTCCCTTGGATGTGCAGTGTCTCCTGTTTATATATAGTTTATTTCAGTTTCATAGCTTCAACTTTTCTCACAACCTTTAGGTTTGGAAGCTGCTCTGTTTTATGCCCAAATGATTGGATCCCTATATTTTTCATTTTGTTGATCACTTATGTATTGCTCACAAGATGTTTGACGAAATAATTTAGGGTTACATACCATTCTTATGGAAAAACAGAGCTTCAAATTTTATCTTTCCAAGATCACTAGTCTTTGACCACAATCTTTCACTTTGACATTGTCATACCCATAGCCTAGCATTCAAAATACTGTAATTATAATTTTTTTTTGGGTACTAAATGATATTCCTATGAATTTTGTATTCCTTTCTTGTGAGTTGACGATGACTGCCATCTATATTGTTGTTAATGCTGACAATTTAATTTGGTGAGATGAACTAAATTGAACATCATTTGATGGGGGAGTAATTACGGATCTTCATAGGGACTGAATTTTCCCTTTTGTGTATTTTGGTATGGGATGTGAACTACCTTTATTTCTTAGTGTCTCTGATAATTGAAAGTGACCCTTGCTTATATTTCAAATGTCAAATCTGTTGTTGGAAGGTATGGACATTTTTCCTTTGAGCACTAGAGTTTTCTAATTCTTTACCTTCCCCTCTCTCTGTCTCCATCTCTCCATTTTTCTTCTCCTTTTTTTTATTGTTTTAAGAAAAAAAGATTTGAAGTCTACCCAAGGGAGTTTCTTGAGCTACAGCATGATATAATTTAGTGCTTGCAAAATAGTGCAATGTCTTTTTCAATGAGTTTGGTAAATGAATTTGTCCTAGTTAGAAATGTAATGGCCAGGAAATAAGTGTTACTCTAGATGTCTTTAGGATCTGTGAGAATAATGGCTGATAATTATGGTTTAACAAGGAGGAAAGAAGAGTAAGAATAGGAATAAATACAAGATAGGTTGTGGGCGGAGAAGAAACAATAGAGGCCTGAATTGTTTGACTTGCATGATCTCAATTGGTGCAATCTAGATCTTGGTTAAACAGTTAGTGTCAACAATAAAAAATCAGGACAAAAGGGCATTAAGGGGGCGAAACTATGCTTGTATTGCAATAGAAGTTATTAATTTATTCTGTTTCATTTTTCTTGGGTCCATTGTGATAGAATCTGCATATATGCTGGTCAAAGAAATTTCTTGTCTTACATTTGCATTGTTCTGTTTGAGTAATACTATGATGATGGAAATTCATGTATAGTTTGGTACTTTTTTATTATTTGTAACCCTAATTCTAATATGGGATTGCTTTGAATACAGAGCTTTTGAAGTTTAGTGCCTGCATATTCCTGTTTATGACCGAACACCATTTGAATGTCTTAAACTTCTGTAACTTGTAAATATCTTTATAAGTATTTCTTTGTGTTGCAATGCTGCTTATGATAGTTCATTTGTGCTGCTGATATAGTTAAATAATGTTGCAAGTTAATTTCGTTCTTTTATTATTCTTATTATTACTATTATTATTATTTTCTTGTATAGTGAGTTTGTTTGTGTATCTTGTATTCCTTTGTCCACAATTTTTTCAGATCCTCTTCAAATTAATTAAAATTTACATTTTATTGCGTGTAGACTTGGTGAAATTTGTGGAAGAAATTGTAAGGCTCGAACATGCTTCATTTCCAAATAAGCCAATTTATCTTGTGGGCAATTCCTTTGGGGGATGCCTAGCACTTGCTGTCGCAGCTCATAATCCAACCATTAACCTGGTAGTAATATTAGCAAATCCAGGTTAGCTTTCAAATAGAGAATTTAAGCATTTCATTGTCATTTTTAGAGGACATTTATGATTTCCCTTCTGGTTGGCCAAATTAATGCTAGTAACTAATGTACTCAATTATTTGTTTTAGCAAGTTCATTTGGCTGGTCACAGCTGCTACCTTTGTTCGCTCTCCTGGAGGCTATGCCCAATGAACTTCATATCACAGTGCCTTACCTTCTTAGCTTTGTTATGGGTATATCCTCTGTTGCTTTAAAAAAAATTATTTGCATTCCTAATATTTTTTTTGACTTGAATTTGAAGAAATTCAAATTTGTCTGCTGCTTGCAATTGTGGTATCCTTGTTAAATTGCCTATGTGGATTTGATAAAACAATCAAGCACTGTGATCATATGTGACTAAACTGTCTACTTGACTGATTTCTTTCACATCATCTATTCATAATAGTCTTACACTTTCGCTCATCAACATGACCTTTAATGGTTCATTGAATAAATTTTAAAGCCTGAGCTTCATTCAGATATATGGTTACATGTGTAAATCAGTAACCAATTATACCTATGAGAACGTTACTGATTTGCTCCAGTCATGGAAAATCCACCAGTTGGCCTCAAGAAGAACAACTCTAGCCAAATTTGACGACAAGTTTTAGAAGGATGGGCTTAATGTGAAGCTACCAAACCAAACCCAAGCTATTTGAAAATGTCTGGGAAGCACTTGTAGGTTAGGAGTTAGAGCCAAAAACACCTCAAACTTAACCAAAAAAGGATGTTAAGGGGGTGAAACTATGAACAGCCCCCGAACCAACGTGTGGCTGTCACGAACAGCTTCCCCATCACAAATAGGACCTGTGACAACAGACAGAATGTAATTTGCACTTGTAGGTTGGGAGTTAGAGCCAAAAATGCCTCAAACTTAACCAAAAAAGGGTGTTAAGGGGGCAAAACTATGAAACTGCCCCTGAACCACCATGTAGCTGTCATGTACAGCTGCCCCATCACAAATCGGACTTGTGACAACAAACGGAATGTAATTTGCACTTGTAGGTTGGGAGTTGGAGCCCAAAAACGCCTCAAACTTAACCGAAAAAAGGCATTAAGGGGGCGAAACTACGAAATAGCTCCCAAACCACCATGTGGCTATCACAAACAGCTTCCCCATCACAAATTAGACCTGTGAAAATAGACAGAATGTAATTTGCATTTGTAGGTTGGGAGTTAGAGCCAAAAATACCTTAACTTAACTAAAAAAGGGCGTTAAGAGAGCGAAACTATGAAACTGCCCCCAAATCACCTTGTGGCTGTCATGAACAGCTTTCCCATCACAAATAGGACCTGTTGCAATAGACGGAATGTAATTTGAACTTGTAGGTTGGGAGTTAAAGCCAAAAACACCTCAGACTTAACCGAAAAAGGGCGTTAAGGGGGCGAAACTACGAAACCGCTACCGAACCACCGTGTGGCTCTCACGAACAGCTTCCCTATCATAAATAGGGCCTGTGACAATAGACAAAATGTAATTTGCACTTGTAGGTTGAGAGTAAGAGCCAAAAACGCCTCAAACTTAAAAAGCTGTATTGACATCTACAACATATAAAAACAATATATCAAGTTTTGAGACTACTTTTTTTTTTTAAAAGGCTATATTGACATCTATATATTTTCTATATCATTTGATTTGGCTCCCATTGATTAAAAGATATGACTAGCATTTACATGCGCTGCTTTGGTACTTTCCCTTGTTCATTTTTAGGATCTTACAAATATGTCTTCATCCAATGCCTTAGTTGGTCGCTAAAAGGGACCATTGGCGACCAAATAATTGGTTGCGGAAAGTCCAATCCATATTAGCCAAAAGGTAACTTTTAGTGACCAAAGTCATAGTTGGTCGCCAAAAGTCAGTGCCTTCACCCAAAGAAAAATATTCTTTTGCGCTGCCTGGGAGTTGAACTCCTGATCAAGGAGTCACTCTCCATGTACCCAATCCACTCTGCCCATGCACCCAATCCACTTTGCTATTAACATGCTTGTTGTTCACATTTGGCAGAGAAAATATATAACCCATAAAAATTGAGTTATATATTATTTCATAAAACCTTCAATGCCCAAATAGAAAAATAGAATGTAATTACAGTAGTACCCATTTTTTTTTTAATTTATCCCACCATAACTTTCTGTGACCAACTTATTTTTTGGTCGCCAAAAGGTGATATTCCGCGACCAAATTTGTAGTTGGTCACCAATAGTTAAGTCATTCGCGACCAACTTATTTTTTGATCGCCAAAAGGTGATCTTCCGCAACCAAATTTGTAGTTGGTTGCCAATAGTTAAGTCATTTGCCACCAACTTATCTTTTGGTCGCCAAAAGATGACCTTTTGAGACCAAATTTGTATTTGGTTGCCAAAAATTAGCTATTAGCCACCAAAAAATTGTGGGTTGCGAAACATACCCATCAGCGACCAAAAAAAATTTAGTCGCAGAAAGTGGACTATTTGCGACCAACTCAAAATAGGTGGTCGCCAAAAGTATTTTTTCTTGTAGTGCAAGTTCCCCATTACTAAGTGTAAAATTTTAAAAATTTTAAACTTCTCTAGTTGAAACAGTGGCCTACTAAATATAGATGCTAACCATCACACTATATTTGCAAAAGGACTCACGAGACAAAATAAAGTTTTGTTAACATCATCAAGAAGGCTTCTTTAGTACCATTTTCATGGGGATGGGTAGAATTTGGGAAACTGATTAGTTGCAACATTAAATTATTTTTCCATTAGAGCAACTTTACTATTTTCATTCTCAAACTTTGTATAATGATATTTTTCTCTCTATCCAGGGAAAAAGGAGTTGTGTCAAGTTAGATATTTATAGAAAGTTCTCAAATGCATTAGCAGGAACAGTGATTGCTTCAGTTGCTTAGATAGGATATGAGGTATGCTTCTAATGAGTATACTCTACTTCTAATTTTGATGTGCAATAACATTGGTCTAATTTTGTTTATTAAAATTCATTTTCATTTTCATAAATAGACACAAGCAGAAATCCCAACTACTAGGAGAATATTACTTGAGTGCTTAATTATTATGTTATGAGTAAAGTGTTCCTCAGTGCCTCATGAACAATAAAATTAGTTTGACATGGACAGTGGATATATTTGTTTCTAATCGAAAGAATGTCACCCCATACTCTTGAAACTCTGCTAATATCTTCCAAGAATGGCATCCATCTCCCAACAATAGATTCATATTTAGAGCAAACAAATTTTTCCGTAAGGCCTTGTCCTTTTTGCAATATCTCCACAATTATTTTGATAACAAGCCGAAAACGCCCTAAACTTAGTCGAAAAAAGGTGTTTCGGGGGCAAAAGTTCAAAATAGCCCCCAAACCACCGTGTAGCTCTCACGAACAGTTTCCTGAAGACAAATAGAACTTGTGACAACTAACGGAATGTAATTCGGACCCGTAGGTTGGGAGTTAGAGCTGAATACGCCTTAAACTTACTCAAAAAAAGGCTTTCCGGGGGCGAAAATCTAAAACAGCACACGAACTAGTGTGTGGCTCTCATGGGCAGCTTCCCCATGACATTTAGGACTTGTGACAACTGACGGAATGTAATTCGAACCCGTAGGTTGGGAGTTAGAGTCGAATGCGCCCTAAACTTAGTCGGAAAAGGGCATTTCGGGGGGCGAAAATTGAAAATAGCCCCCGAATCACCATGTGACTCTCATGGGTAGCTTCTCCATGACAAATAGGATTTGTGACAACTAATGGAATGTAATTCGAACTCGTAGGTTGGGAGTTAGAGCCGAATACGCCCTAAACTTAGTCAAAAAAGGACATTTCAGGGACAAAAATTCAAAACAGCCCCCGAACCACCATCTGGCTCTCACAGATAGTTTCCCCATGACAAATAGGACTTGTGACAACTGATGGTATGTAATTTGGACCCGTAGGTTGGGAGTTAGAGAGCAGAATACGCCCTAAACTTAGTTAAAAAGGGCGTTTCGAGGGTGAAAATTCAAAACAGCCCCCGAACCATCATGTGACTCTCACAGGCAGCTTCCCCATGACATATAAGACTTGTGACAACTGACAGAATGTAATTCAGACTCGTAGATTGGGAGTTAAAGCCGAATACTCCTTAAACTTAGTCAAAATGGGAGTTTCGGGGGTGAAAATTCAAAATAGCCCCCGAACCACCGTGTGGCTCTCACAAAAAGTTTATCCATGACAAATAGGACTTGTGACAACTGACGGAATGTAATTCAGACTCGTAGGTTGGGAGTTAGAGCCAAATACGCCCTAAACTTAGTCGAAAAAGGGCGTTTCGAGGGCAAAAATTTAAAATAGTCCCCGAATCACTGTGTGACTCTCACAGCCAGCTTTCCCATGACAAATCGGACTTGTGACAACTAACGGAATATAATTCGGACCCGTAGGTTGGAAGTTAGAGCCAAATACGCCCTAAACTTAGTCGAAAAAGGGCGTTTGGGGGCGAAAATTCAAAATAACCCCCAAATCATTGTGTGACTCTCACGGGAAGCTTTCCCATGACAAATAGGACTTGTGACAACTGACGGAATGTAATTCAGACTTGTAGGTTGAGAGTTAGAGCCAAATACGCCCTAAACTTAGTCGAAAAAAGGCGTTTCAGGGGCGAAAATTCAAAACAAGCCCCAAACCATCGTGTGGCTCTCATGGACAGTTTCCCCATGACAAATAGGAATTATGACAACTGACGGAATGTAATCCGGACCCATAGGTTGGGAGTTAGAGCCGAATACGCCTTAAAATTACTCGAAAAAAGGCTTTCTGGGGGCGAAAATTCAAAACAGCCCCCGAACCAGCATGTGGCTCTCGCGGGCAACTTCATGAGATATCAAGTATTCTTTCTTTGATGGACCATTTATAGGTGTCTCAGCATACATTTCTACATATTTCCTTTTGTGATTGAACTTTATTTTTGTTATTTTTTTTCTCACATGTTCTAATATCCTGAATGAAATGGCACTGACGGACATTAATAAGTAGGGATAGTTTTATATCCAATCTAATGATTCAAGTGCCTTTTGCAAACAATTAATGAGGAAGTTGGTAAAAAGAATACTTTCTATTCACATTGGGCTTTGATATTGGTTTACCCACAGAATTTGGATAGATGTTGCATACAAATAGAAGATTGTTGCATTACCTTTATGTTAGTAATGATAGATTTACTAATTTAACAATGTTCTTTATAACAAAAGACTTTAGAAAGACAGATAATTGATTCATCATGGAAGGTTGCTTCTTTGATATGTTATTTGTCACTTGTTGCCAAATTAATTCATGAAGTTAGGCATTTCTTGGTCCAATTCTAATGTTTTTTTTGTTTTTTATAGATGACTTTGTTGCGTGGACTTGTGGATAATCCATTTTGGTGTATGGAGAAGAAATTTCACTTTTGTATAGAACTAATATAATACTTTTGTCGTTCCCGGATTTTGTGCAATTCACTATTACTGATACAAAAAACTTTTGGCAGCCAACAGATAATTATTGGCATGGTACATAGATCACCTTCTGTCATCGTACATATATATGACCTTTTGTCGTGGTACATAGATGCACTTTTGTCTTGGTACATACATCACCTGTTGTCGTGGTACAGATTACGATGGTAATTTGTACCATGCCAAATGATCATTTCACATGGTAGTAAATGTATTTTTTGTATAAAGAGGACTTTGATTTTTGTATGATTCTATATTTTGTATGGAATTATTATTTTAGTTTGGACAATAGTTGGTCTGTATGGATTTTGACATTTAAAGTTATTTATTTTTTGGATATGGTTGCAGATTGTGGAATGATTGATAGTATATGTATCATTTTGTTTATATACGTATTATAGGTTGCATGGAATATAGACAGGTTATGGATAAATTATAATTTTGCAACAAAACATAATAACATGTTTTTGGCGACTAAACAATTAGTAGTTAAAAAGAAATTGGGAAAATAGTTTGGGCGACTAAAAGTTTTGTAGCCAAAAGAAAAGAAAAACATTTGGTGACTAAAAGTTTTGTAGCCAAAAGAAAATCAAACATTTGGTGACGAAAAGTTTTGTAGCCAAAAGAGAAGCAAGCATTTGCCGACTAAAAGTTTTGTAGCCAAAAGAAAATCAAACATTTGCCAACTAAGTTATTTCGTAAGTAAAAACAAAAGCTAAAGAACAAAAACATTTTTGCCGACTAAAAATTTAGTAGCCAAAAATGTGGGAGTTTAGGCGACTAAATGTTTAGTAGCCAAAACAAAAACTATTTGCCGACTAAAATTTTAGTAGCAAAAAATGTGGGACTTTAGGCGATTAAATCTTTAGTAGCCAAAAAAATTTGACTTCAGGCGACTAAAATTTTAGTAGCCAAAACACATGTATTTACTTTAGGCGTTAGTAGCTAAAAACTTTTTCCGCGGCTAAATGTTTAGTCGTTAACAATAATTGAGGCTTTTGGCGACAAAAAAATTGGTCGTCGAAAATTTGTTATTTAATTTTATTTCTAACATTTTGGCAACTAAAAATTTAGTTAGCAATTGAATATATTTGGCGACTAAAATAATTTTAGTCGCCAATTAGCTTTCCCAACAATTCTTCTGCTACTAATTCTACGACCAAATAATTTAGTCGCTAAAGCCTTTCGGTGACTAAAAAATGACTTTTGACGACTAAAAATTTAATCGCCAAAAGTGAAAATTCTTGTAGTGGGCCCTTGAAAATTAAAAGTCCCTTACTTTTTTAAATTATTTCTTTGAAATTGATTCATCATGGAAGGTTGCTTCTTTGATATGTTATTTGTCACTTGTTGCCAAATTAATTCATGAAGTTAGGCATTTCTTGGTCCAATTCTAATGTTTTTTTTTTTTGTTTTTTGTAGATGACTTTGTTGCGTGGACTTGTGGATAATCCATTTTGGTGTATGGAGAAGAAATTTCACTTTTGTATAGAACTAATATAATACTTTTGTCGTCCCTGGCTTTTGTGTAGTTCACTATTACTGATACAAAAAACTTTTGGCAGCCAACAGATAATTACTGGCATGGTACATAGATCACCTTCTGTCATCGTACATATATATGACCTTTTGTCGTGGTACATAGATGTACTTTTGTCTTGGTACATACATCACCTGTTGTCGTGGTACAGATTACGATGGTAATTTGTACCATGCCAAATGGTCATTTTACATGGTAGTAAATGTATTTTTTGTATAAAGAGGACTTTGATTTTTGTATGTTTCTATATTTTGTAAGGAATTATTATTTTAGTTTGGACAATAGTTGGTTTGTATGGACTTTGACATTTAAAGTTATTTATTTTTTGTATATGGTTGCAGATTGTGGAATGATTGATAGTATATGTATCATTTTGTTTATATACGTATTACAGGTTGCATGGAATATAGACAGGTTATGGATAAATTATAATTTTGCAATAAAACATAATAACATGTTTTTGGCGACTAAACAATTAGTAGTTAAAAAGAAATTGGGAAAACAGTTTGGGCGACTAAAAGTTTTGTAGCCAAAAGAAAAGAAAAACATTTGGTGACTAAAAGTTTTGTAGCCAAAAGAAAATCAAACATTTGGTGACGAAAAGTTTTGTAGCCAAAAGAGAAGCAAGCATTTGCCGACTAAAAGTTTTGTAGCTAAAAGAAAATCAAACATTTGCCAACTAAGTTATTTTGTAAGTAAAAACAAAAGCTAAAGAACAAAAACATTTTTGCCGACTAAAAATTTAGTAGCAAAAAATGTGGGAGTTTAGGCGACTAAATGTTTAGTAGCCAAAACAAAAACTATTTGCCGACTAAAATTTTAGTAGAAAAAAATGTGAGACTTTAGGCGATTAAATCTTTAGTAGCCAAAAAAATTTGACTTCAGGCGACTAAAATTTTAGTAGCCAGAACACATGTATTTACTTTAGGCATTAGTAGCTAAAAACTTTTTCCGTGGCTAAATGTTTAGTCGTTAACAATAATTGAGGCTTTTGACGACAAAAAAATTGGTCGCCGAAAATTTGTTATTTAATTTTATTTCTAACATTTTGACAACTAAAAATTTAGTCAGCAATTGAATATATTTGGCGACTAAAATAATTTTAGTCGCCAATTAGCTTTCCCAACAATTCTTCTGCTACTAATTCTGCGACCAAATAATTTAGTCGCTAAAGCCTTTCGGCGACTAAAAAATGACTTTTGACGACTAAAAATTTAGTCGCCAAAAGTGAAAATTCTTGTAGTGGGCCCTCGAAAATTAAAAGTCCCTTACTTTTTAAAATTATTTCTTTGAAATCCCTCAATTTCTTAATTAATTGCAATTTTAATCCTAAGATCAAAATGCATGCGCCAACTGAAAACTTGCAAACCCTAATCGATTTTGGTAACTTAGAAATAATTTCTAACACCATGATAATGATTAATGGACTCCCTAAATATGGAATTACCACTTGAAAACCCTAGATTTTTCCGGTCTTTATCACAATCGTCGGTTAATCGCCTTTTTATTCAAAACAAGAAATCTAAACTGAATTAGACTCTCTAACCCTAATTTAATTTAATTCTACACTAAAATAAATGTTCCAATTCATAAATTAAACCCAAAGCTCCCACATTTTTATTAAATCACAAATTGACCCCAAATAAGTACCATTATATATATACACTTGTACCCTAAAATTTATTTTATACACTATATTTTACAATTTCCAACATTCGTACACAAGAAAAAAAATAAAACAAGTCCCTCAAATCACCATCATGTGGTCGGCCAATACCTATATAGATACATTGAGTGTACTTTTGAGACAAACTTGCATGAATTAAGAAAAAAATCTTTGACCATGGGTACATACTTATATATAAATGTATATGTGCATTGTATTTGTAACTAGGTCGGTTTGATTAAGATAAAACCCTAACAAGATCATGCTTAGGTACTCAATTAAGGCCTCTAATCATCCACTATTCCATTGAATTCAAACTAAATCCAAAATATCCAATCCAATTCCAACCAATGGGAATTCTGGACCTTTTGCACCAATTTTATTATAAAAACAACCCCTCCCTTAGCATTTTACATACAAGAACACAAACATAAACACTTCATTTGGCTGAGAGGGAGAGAAGAGAAGAGAGTGAGCTTGGTGGAGGAAAGTGGAGAAAGGAAAGGTCCTACTAGCTAACCAACCAAGCCTCAAGTAAGCCACATCACCATCTCTCATTCTATTTCATTTTTCAAATACATGTTATTAGAGTCTTGAAATCATATTTTCAGATTTTTTGTATGGTGTGCATGTGTTTAAAGTTGATGAATTGGGCTTTAATCCTTCTTATATTCATATTTTCTCTTAATAAATGCAAAACTACCTTTTTCTTCTCATAGCTCACATTTTTTTAAAGGCATACCATCACTCTAAAAATCTAAGTTATTGATACATTATTTAATATGTTTTCATCACAAAAGAAGTGGAAAATTTCCCTTAGTTGGCCTTTTTTCTCACAAATCTTCTTATTTTGAGTATTGTGCATGAAAAATTTGTTTTACAGCCAACTTTCAAATATTCCAGAAACATGTAGAAAAATCTTCTGGACCTTAGTTTTATGTCAAAATCTTCCTTAAGGAGTTCTATTTCAAGGAAAATTGGTTTCATTGAAAAAGAGTGAGTGGTTTGTAAGAAAATTCGATTTTTTAACGGTCATTGAATCTGGATAGTGTTGGACTGTTTCTTAAATAACTAAAAATCTAGAAAATATATTCCATTTCCAAAAATGTTTTGAAAACTAGATTGAATTCTCTACAAACCATAGGAAGGCCGAGTTCGGGAAAAATCTGAAATAACTTTTTTTATCTTAATCTTTAAGGGTACTGAATTTGGAAATTCTATTTGGCATTGGTATTTTATGCTCATGTGTTCATGATTATGCTTATTAATATATGATCATGTCTTGGTATGATATTACACATGTCATGGTTGTATATCTTTTATTTTAATCCTTCGATGATGCTTACACTTATGCAAATTTATTCTTGTTATTTTCTTGTGCTAACTTAAAACGTTAATCTAAACAGAAAATTTAATGGGGGCTGATGGTATTTTGATCACATGAGTATTATTATAATATGAAGTTATGTTCAAATTGAATTTGTTAGCAGGACATGTTCCCTTTTGGAAAGTTAAAGTCTTGCGCAAGTGGTTGTTTGGAACCCTTGAACAGAGCGGTTGTATTCGGACCCTATGTGGTTTGGTGTAAGGAGGGAATGGGCAAGGCCCTATTTTACCGTCTCTTTTGTGGTCCTCAGTTGGCGCTACGTGGTATGTAACCGTTGGTTGTCATCCGGGGTAAGGTCTACAAAGCAGCAAAAGATGTGGTATACCGAATAATTCGAGTTCGATTCTTGGGGTTAGGATGATGAAATCTCTTTGAGAGATTTCTAGATTACTAACAACTAATCTTGTAACCTGTGTTAATTACTTGAATGTCATGTTCTTTTCCCCTATTATTGTAATTACTTTTATGTATTAGATTGGGAAAAGGAGACGGGGTGTGTGCGCGTTTACTAGGCATTCAAAGCTCACGGCATATCATGCTAGG